AGTGGGCCCCTGGCCCTTTTGACCCTTATCTGGGTTCTGGCCCCCACATTGATCAGTCAGGTCCCTAGGGTTAGGTCTAAGCCTCCTGCCTGCACTCAGGGATCAGGGTCCCCCATTCAAAGATCAGGTGCTTCAGAAAGCATGCCTGGCTCCCCAGGGTCACTCACCCCGCAGGCTCAGGCACTTCAAGAAGCTTACCTGGCCTTCCCTGGATTAAATGGTTAACATGACCCACCCAAAGGTGAGAGCTGGGTTTAAGGCACCCTTATCCACCTTTCACCAGGGTGGTAACTGGCCTGGCATTTCCTGGGGGCTTCCATGCCACTGGGAGTTCCACCAGACCACCCACTCCCAGCAGGGTTTTAGGTTATGCCCAGGATTAGAGCCTCCTGCGCCTACCTACAAGATGTTCCCATGCAGCAGCCCAGCCAGGCCATGCTGCCTGCCAGGAGTGAACTGCTCTTGTTTATGTAGGCAGCCAGAGTTCTAAAATGGCCGCCATAATCAAACACCTGCTGAGTGTTTGATTTAGCCCTTAAAGTGGTAGGCACCACTCATGCCCTGCCACACCTTGGTTTAATTCATTCTTGTTCCAATTACTCAACAGTATTTCCAGAATTATCAGCTCCTCCTAACTGGTCACTACTTGTTTTCCCATTGGAATGATAGCTGAACCAGAATTTTATTCCAGAAATTCCCACATCCAGTTAATGAGCAGCTTTGTGATACAGCCTAATGAAGCTGTGGGCACTCAGCACCTTGCAGGATCTGGCCACTGTAAACAACGATGCTAAGAACCCTCCCATAGGTAGGCTCATTCTTGTCAGCTGAGCCCAAGTTGTCACAATGCTGTGCCACTTATAGAGCTGAGTTACAGGCTGCTCTCCTGAGGTCAGCAGGGCTACAAAGCAGACAGGATCTAAGTCTAATTCTGAACTTCCTTGAAACCAGTGGGTCAGCAATTGGCTGTTCCAGAAGCCATCAGCCGCATGCAAGCATGAAATGTCTCTTGAGACCCAGGTTGGCTGAGGGACATTTAATAGTTTTTATAGATTTCATAGACATTTGGGCTGGAAGGGACCCCGGAGGATCATCGAGTCCAGCCCCCTGCCCCAGGGACAGGAAGTCAGCAGGGATCATAGGATCCCAGCAAGATAAGCATCCAAATGTGTCTTTGAAGGCGTTCAAAGTGGGCGCTTGAACCGCCTCTGGCGGCAGTCTGTTCCAAACCTGGGGGGCTTCAAACCCCATGCCATGCACTGGGACTGCATGCAGGCAGCCAGAGAAATTACTAGCTACAGCCAGTCCCAGCCAGTCAAAAAGCTACCCATGTCTCAGGTGACTAACTCCCAAGCACGCAATGCTCAAGCTGGGCTTCCTTCAGCCTCCCAGGCTTACGGACCTCCCTGCTGCAACATCTCCTCCAGAGATATTCCTGCAGGGGGGTAGGCATCACCTCAGAATCCTGGATCAAACTAGACTTGCACTCTACCCCACCCCTGGAGGGAGTCCCTCTGCTACCCAGCCCAAAGCTGTTCAGAGAGCTTGGGGCTGGAGGCAACTCAGTGAGGACAGCCCCTTGAGATCACCAATCACCCCTTAGAACAGTTCAGGAAGTGTGCTGGGCCTCACATCTGGGCCAGGTAAAATAGAGCCACCCCACTCCCACCCATACCTTACCTCAGGTCCCAACCTGATCCCCACTATTGCATGTACATCTTCATCCACATAGCCATAAGTGCCGCTCCCCTAAATCACAGCCCCAACTGCCACAGCCCACCCCACATCACAGCCATAGTTCTCCTGCCCCCACTACAACTATAGCCACCCCGCTTGGAGGTCTGTGTGGACTCCAGGTTGAAAGGGCAGGGGATGATGTAGTCCCGGGTTGAGGCACCTTGGTGGTACTGTTGTGGTACTTACACAATGTCTGCTCACAAGCAACCCATGCAGGCTGCACAAAGGACTGTTATGTCCTTACTGAATGAGCACTAAGGGGATAATTCCCCTAACTGCTCCTCTAGCATGGGTGCGTCCCTGAGACCAGACCTCTTTGAGGACAATACTAGTTCCCTCGGTTAAGCCCAGGAGTATGCCCCAAGCAGCAGGTACAGCCCAACGCTGAGAACTGGAGCTGGGCCAAAGGCCACAAACACTTTTGAATTGCTAAAGGGCTCCACCCCAGAGCTGGCTGTTTCCTGGGATTGTTGCAGCTGACATGTGTGAGGGTCCTGACAAGGGAGCAGACACTTAGTACACTCAAAAGAACAAGCTCTGAACTAGTAGACTGCCAGCATTCACCACAGAAAGCCAGGTCCAAGAGCAGCATGCCCATAGGGAGTGAATAAAAAGACATCAGGTCCAGTCAAAGGCTCAAAGCCTGGACCTGGGCTGCTGCGAGGAGACACTAGTTTACAGGTCTTTGAGAGAATGACAGTTTGGCAAGAAACCTGATGCAAAGCCAGCACACTTGAGCATGGGCAAAGGAGGGCAAAGCAGGGGTAAACCTTTTTAGCAGGCATACCACAAGTCAGCCCTGTACCTTCCCCAAGTACCACTCTGATCCCCTTTCCCTGCACAGTCTACTGCCCTGATTTTTGCTTTGAGCCCTGTCTGCAGCTGTTCAGGGGACTAACTGGCCTGGACCTGCTAGTCATGGGTTTATCCTGCACTCTCCTCAGATCACAACCAGCTGTCACTGGCATCCCAGGAAGGCACAGGATCAAGAGGAAGCCAGGCATTCCCCAGCACTGGCACAAGGAGTTTCTGGCTGCTGAGAATGGACCTGAAGGGGTCTTCTTTGGGTTGGAAGGAAGAACCACACAGACAATGGCTACTTCTCCTATACTTAGTCTTGCCAGTGCCCCCAAGCCTCACACTGCCCTGCAAGTGCCCCCTCTCTCCATGCTCACTCAACCTGCCCGTGCCACCTCCTGTCTTTCCCACAGCTCACCCCATTCATGCAGCCCTGCCAGAGATCCCCTCCCCCTCTCCTAGGCAGTTCTTAATAGAGAAGTATTTGAGCAAGATGTTCTTTGTCCTGGGCTTTGTGTAAGGTCATATTGTAAAAGTGGATGGTCCCTTCTACCTATAAACTCAATGCATCTACCTACCGAGGTACTTTTGTGACTCCCATAAGTGTGGTATTGGAGCACCCCACAGTCTTCAAAGTCTTCATTTATCCTCACAAGTCCACTGAAAGGTTAGACAGGACTATATCCCCATGGTGTTGAGGCATGGTGGCTAAATGACTTGCCTAAGATCACACAGTCAGCCTGTGGCAGAGCAAACAGTTGAGTCACAGGTGCCCAAGTCTCAGGTTAGTTCCTCCACCCTATCTGTGCTCTCTCCCCCTTCATACAGCCCTCCCAGTGCCCTGTCCCCAGCCTCCCTGCAATGAGCATCGAGAGAGACATTCTGCAGTTTCATCCTCTCTTCTGGCATTGATTTTAGAGATCTGAGCACAACCAGGGTAATGTGGACTTTGCCTCTCTCACACAGTTACATTACACATACACGCACAATGATACCCTCTATGTCATACACACAGTAGTACGAATGTTTTGTATTACATACCTAGAAATGGTAAAGTGCTACACACAGGCTCTCCCCACAGACAAACTATGACTGTCTCACGCTCTCACACACTGTCACTGACAGTGACACACACAGGATGTATCTACTTCTCCAGCATGCATACACACACATTGGCAGAGCAAGCGTCACACACAGGACTACACATGGGCTGTGTCTTTCATATCAGCATCAAAGGAGGACTGTCAATCATACATACATACATACCTTGGAGAGAGATACACACACAGAATCACACACACACCAAAGTTACACAAAGGGTCATTTCTATCACACACATGTGCACATGCACACGCATACATATACATCAGGTTGAATACAGGTGGGCTGTGTCTATCATACACTAACAGTGCTACTTACAAGTTGTGTCATACATACAACAAGTAATACATACAATTTGTATCCTTGTCTCTCACACAGTGATCCACACGTATTGTGTCAGGCTTTGAGAGTGTGATCTACAAGAATGTGATCTCTTACATGGGTTATGTCTCACACAGAAACGCTAACACATATTGTGGCTGATGCATTCACTGCACTGTGAGAGAGATATACCAGGGCTGTCACACACAGACAGTAATGCACACATGGGCCATACCAAACATGCACGAGTACACACACACTGAAAGTGATACACACAGCTTGTGTCATATGTATATTGACACTGATAAAGGGATATATATAGACCATGCCACACACACACACTGAGAGCAACACACAAAGGATGTCAGACACTAAGCATGAAACACACCAGTTATGTCCCAATTGCAGACATGAGTTAACTGATGCACTCTCCTTGTCCCAGTCACCCACACACAAGCTGTCTGGGTCCTGGCCCATCATGCTGGGAACCAGACAGACCCCCGGTCCCCTGAACTCCCTGTGTTGGGCTGGGATCATACCTGCCTGTGTACTAGGGAAGAAGCCATATGACCTCTAAAGTCTCCCTCAATAAGTGCCTCGTACTCAGGGAAGCCAGATCCCCAGTGCCATCCCCAGAAGCAGGGAGCAGGGAGGATTCCTGGCCAGTGACCCTTGGGTTTGGGACCAATGTTTGATCTGCCCAAGACTTTCCCTGGTCACATCTCCCTTGTGCATGGATAGCAGGGAGCTCTTCTGCCCCAGCTGGGACTGGCACAGACTTCTCCATTCCTCCCCACTGGGTGAGCTTAGTTCCTGGGGCTGTAGATGGGATGAGCTGTTCGGGGGGGAGGGAGGGTGGTGGAAGACAGCCTCAAGCAAGCAACCTGGACCGCAAGCTAAAGAGGCAACTTGCCTGGATGCCCCATTACAGCCCATGGCAGTACTGTAGCCCAGGTGCCCAGAGGAGTCCCTGAAGGGCTATGCCAGGCTTGCTGTTGAGCTGCCCATTCAGGTGAGGGAGAAGCAGCCCCTTCTTTTCTTACCTCCTTGCCAAGAAGCCTGGAGGATGGAGAGGAGGAGGAGGACTCCGGGAAAGAGGGATGCAGCTAGCTGCCTTGCCATCTCTTGAAGCAATGCCCCAGTCCTCTCACAGCCAGTGTGTTTTATCCCAGAGCTGCTTAATTGTTGCTTCCAAGGATGTGAGGGGAAAAGGGGTGGGGGTTGGAAGGAGGGAGGGGAAAGAGAGTGAGAGAAGGGGGGGGAGAGAGGCACAGGACACTACGTCATTATAAAAGGGCAAACACACAAGCCTCTCCAGGCGATTGGGCTTTTTTTTCCCTTTCTAATTTTTCTCTTTTGCTGCTCTCTCCAGTTCTGGTACGTCTCTGCCAAAAGAGTGGGGGAGCTGCCAAGAGAGCCTTCTGTGAGAGGAAGGGGGAAGGCTGAGCCTGCCAGAGCACTCGCTCCATCCCCATACCATAATGGCCAGTCCATATATCGCGTGGCCAGTGCCACCCAGGGGCTGCAAGCCCCAGAAGTGACTCTTGGACCTATTCCCAGCCTGTTCACCTCTTCCAGTTCAGCCCCCAGCAGAGGAGGTGGAGGGCTCTGAAGTCACCACTAAGTAGGTGTCTGGGGAGAACAGGGGGAAAGGTGGTGGAAATTAAACATTAGAGTCCCAAGATAAGCTATCTCTAAAGGGTTTGCTTTGGTTCTGTGTGCTGAGTGTCTGCAGCTAAGGCTTTGGGATGCTGCCAGCTGGGCCCCTGCTTTCCCTTCTTACAATTGCTAATGTTGTTTGTGTTCAGACATCCTACACCTGGACCGGTGCTTTCAGCTGCAGGGTACCAGGGTCCTGTATGGTG